TATTATATAGTTTCAAGGTGCAGAAATATTCTCTTAACCCTTTTGGGTTGTTTTTCTTCTGCTCCTCCCAGTTAATTTTTTAAAATAGTGATGTAAAGTATAAAATTCTCATTCTGGGAAATAATTTTTAAAAAAACAAACCTTGAAACCTTGAATGTATAGAGAGTCAATATAGTTTTCGATTTATAAATTTCTGTGTAAACAGTTTTCCACTTGCCGGGGGTAGAAAAACATTGTATAACATTAAAGCATATGATTTTTACCAAACATACTTTTATTTGTTTAGAAAAACCTTTTCGTCTCGATAGTTAGATTTTAACAGCCTCCTTGCCATATGTGCTTTGTTAAATTGCAAGAAAAACACAAAAGGTCAAATATTATGAACAGGACTTCTCAAAATCAAAACTAGTTACCTCATTTGCCGGGGTGGATCCATAAAATACACACATTCTAAACTACTGATGTCGAATCTGTGGTCGATTGAACGAATTTATACTTTTCGTTTTTTACTCTCAAAAAGCTCCGATTTGAGACGAGTTTGTGAGATCCTTTCTTCAAGAATAGGCACTTTGTGAAGTAAAAACCTTGGTCATTATTCGCAAAACACGGTGTCACAGGGATTTGTGTTCCCCCGAGTTATGTGTTCCCCCGAACACTGGGCACTAGTGTTTTGTGTTCCCCCCTCCCCTCCCTATGAAACATCTTTTGACACGATTCTCTCCCCCAGGTCAAGGACATATATAACTCTGAAAACGAAAAATAAATGGATTATCTCTACCGTACATCATATCGTACATCGTATAACCGCGTGATGCTCTACTGCCGTTGGTATTTTGAGAGATAAAATTTTATTTACCAAATTTAATAAATCAAGCGAGTTCTTTTCTTGGTCTCGTGGCAAAATTCATATGCATAATTTCTTTGCAGTATTATCTAGCCCTACATCGTCGAAAACAGATGAATGACACTCCTCAAAGACGCTTTGCTTCTCTTCACGTCCTCTGATTACCACTTTCTTTTCCCCTCCTTCTACGTACCATAGTACACGATGCTGGTGATTTTCCGTTCGAGCGAGAACTTCTTGTACATTCTCCGTAAAACATATTTTTCTTTATTCACAAAATCAGGAGGATATTCCTTTCGGGATAAATAGTTAAAAACATCATACTGTGAAGCTTCCATGATTTTTTGAATTTAGATTTAAAGAATTTCGTTGAATTTAGATTTAAAGAAAATTCTAAGATTTAGCCGGTTTGTAAACCGAAAACCAATCATTTATAGAGCATCCTTGACCTGGGGGAGAGAATCGTGTCAAAAGATGTTTCATAGGGAGGGGAGGGGRGAACACAAAACACTAGTGCCCAGTGTTCGGGGGAACACATAACTCGGGGGAACACAAATCCCTGTGACAACGGCATGTTTGGTACCAAAATAAAACGATCGTAAGCCATTCGGATCGGCCGAAACCAAAACACTAGATAGAACAACCAAGAACAATACCTTTCCTTACACAAACAAAATTTTAATGTGCTCCCTTGACTTGGCGAGCGGCGCATGGCCGAAATAGTTGGCGATGAGCCATACAAACGAAAGCAAGCAGTAGCAGAAGAATCCAAAGGCGGAAGTAGCGACTGGTTGTGTTGTGTTGACTGGAAGTTCCAAACTTCGTCCTTGACAAAATGCAAACAAGTGAATCAGCTAGCGTTGCCGAAAGAAAAAAAGGTAACAGAATATTCGAAAATGCCAAGAAGTGGGGTCTTTCCTTTGCCATGAGAAAAATATTATTAGAGAATGCTATGGCATGCTACGTTCGCGCAGAAGATTTAGCCTCGAACAACTTGGATGAGTATTCTTCCGCCTCAAAAAATCATGGCAAAGCAGCTTGGAAACTTTTCGGCCTTCTTAAAGAAAAACAAGAAGAGCAAGACAACACTGTTTTATATTTAAAGGAGGCTGCAAAGTTCTTCTGTGTCTCATATGAGAATGGATCTCGTAAACACGACGAATGGCGAAACGATTTGTTGATATCTTTGAACAATTGCGTTAAAGAGTTGCACGATATCTGCCAGAATGTTAATGAAGTCGACGAAAAGTGCAGAATCTTATCCTCTTTTATTAAAGTCATCACGGTGAAGGATTTCCACGTAGAACTACAGATAAACCATACAGAGATTTTATTCCACGATGCCCTCAAATTCCTGCAAAATAAAGATTATAAAGGAGCTTTGAAGCGCTTGAAAGAATGTTATCGACCGATTGAGGAAGCGAAAATGGTCAACCAGTCAGAATCCTGCGCCGCTGAAATCAGGATACTAGAACAAGATGTGTACTTCCACACTTGCTCAGCTGAGTCTATCCAAGCTTGTGAATGTGGCAATGAAGTCTTGAACATTGCAACCCTGAACGAGGAATCCCTTAACATGAATCTAGTGTGGGACGCCGTTGACTGGTACAAAAGAGCTGCCATTCTCACAAGAGAGCTCGACTTAGAACAAGAAGCCATCGCTCTAAGCCATTTAGGATTCGTCTACAACAAAGTCCTGAAGGACAAGGACAAATCCAAGGAATATTATAAGAAGTGCTTTGAGCTTGCAGAGTCTATGAAGCCACGCACTTTCTTCACTCAAGATTGGTACCAGCAGTGTGTGTCAACTTTGCAAGAGTTCCAGAAGGAAGAATGGTTAAAGGATGAAAGGATAGATGAGGAAGCCAGGGAAGTTAGGATCGTAAAGATAAAGAAAGAGCTCGAAGACCTCAAAGAGAACAACACTGGAGAATGTGAAATCTTAATTCATGTTTATAACACTTATCCTCCAAAGAATTCAAAATGGGTAAAGCCAAGTGAGAAAGATATGGCAAAGTGGGCCAAGATGAAAAAGAAAGATTTTAAGAAAGTCCTTTTAAAAGGAATATATGATTATCATCCTGACAAGATTGACGCTGAGGAACATTGTGAGAAATGGAAGACCCTGTGTGAAGAAATTACCAAACTCCTCACAGCACATTATGATTATTTGAAAATGTCAAATGAAGAAGAACAAGAACAAGAAGAAAGGAGATGTTACGTAATGTAATATGATAACCCACATCAGCACCCTTTGGTGCCGGTCTTATTTTAGAACTAGACGCATATCGGCGTGAACTCTAGTCTCCCCCACAGCCGCTTTCAGTGTCGTCACGCAACGCTTTCTCCCCTGACTACTCGATGAGCGCATGTGGCTACTACAGAATTGCGAAACTGGGRTTTAGTTCATTTATTTTTACTGGAATGCTTTAACAAACATGTTTTTACGGGTTTGCTAAGGAAGCAAGTATAATCTATATATTTTCGTCCGCGCCCTGGAGAGCCTCGTTAACAGGCTATCCGAGGTATGGACTGCAATTCCGCTTCATTGATCTTCTTTTGTCTTTTA